CCTGCATGCCCGACAGCCAGCAAGATGGGCACCCCTGTGGCGTGGCAGGGGGGTGTCTGCTCTGTGTCCCAGGGTCCCTCTGCTCCGTGATGGGAGATTCTCACTGACTCTCCCAATGTGGATTCACCCAAACACCCAGGCTCAGCCCCCCAGGGAGAGACAAAGGGGGGAGGGCGAAGACCAGCACCTGGCTGGGGGGCAGGGCTGGAGGAGAGTTTGAGTTTCTGGCTGGAATCATGGAGGAGGCAGCCTAAACAAGGGGCTGGGATTTAGGGGCCCAGTCTCCCCCATCTCAAGGGGGGCTGAGGCATCCTAGGCCCTGGAACCAGATTCCATCTGTGCTGGGCTGTATCCTGGAGAAGCAATAAACTCCCCTGTTCTACTGGCTGGGTGGGTCTGTCCGTGCCATTACAGGGGTGCAGGAGGCAAGGGACCCCCGACACACCGCCACAGCCTCACTCCCTCTCTTCCCCCTTTTCTCTCTCACACTCGCCCTGCCCTCTGCAGGGTGAACCTGGCGCCAGGGAGCCCCAGGCCTCGCCGCACCCCTCACTCAAATGCTGCCACCTCTGGGGTGGGACACGGCAGCCGATTAACTGGTCACAGCCAAGCGCCACAGCAGTTTGCAATGGAAGTCCCTTCATTCCTGCCGGCATCGCTTTTGTTTGTGTTTAGTTACAAAAGATAACTGAACACTGAAATAAAACCCCAGCGTGAAACCCGCTAACCGCGCCTGTCGTGTCACACCCACTTCCACACACACGCTGAGCCGGCGCATTAAATGTCAGGCAGTGTAAACACCGTTTGCCCAAACTTTTGCTGACAAAAAAACTTCCATCCCCCCTACAAGGGGCTGGCCATGTGCCCGCCTGCCTGCAAAGCACTGCGCATAATAGTTGCCCCAGCAAAACTGCTGTCAAGGGGAGGGAGCTAAGCCCCCGTGAACCACAAAAGCCTTGTCCTGCAGCGTAGTTGCAAAGTTAAGCAGCCAAAAGCTGGGAAATAGCGGGACGCACCCAGGGCATATGCACCCCTTCCTGTCCCTGCTGCGTTTTCCTCCTCCGCTCAGTGCATACGGAGGCCGGGGTACTGGCTCTGTGCAGCGCTGCTGCTTTGAAGTACCCTCTTCTCCCCCCGCCTTTGCTGCCTCTTATCTGATATGCCTCTAGCCCTTCCCATCACTCTGGACCCTGTCCCTGTCCTCAACCCCTCTACCTCTCCCCCAGCTTAGAGTCACCCGCGAACTCGCTGAGGGTGCAATCCAGCCCCTCCTCCTGGTCATGCATAAAGATGTTGAACAAAAGCAGCCCTAGAACCGACCCTCGAGGAACTTTGCTGATACCGACCGCCAGCCAGACACGGAGCCGTTGGTCACTAACCTTGGAGCCTGGCAAGGGATGTTAAATGGCGTTTAATCAGCTCATCGAGTAGTCCTGCAATTTCCATCGACTACTCGATAAGGAGGGAAACTGCAGAGCTGCGGCAAGGCCACTGCGGGTCTGTGCGGACGTGTGGCCGGGCGTGGCGAGGAGAAAGCCCCTCCTTACGGCGCGGCTCTCCTAGTAAAGATGTGCCACCCGCGGGCGAGCGGAAGGGACTTTGGGCGCAATGTTTGCGAGCTGGGGGAGTCCCAGGCGGCGCGCCGAACCAAACCCCGTTGCTCGTCTCTGCTAGACAACCCAGAATGCCCCGGCAGCCAGCTTGGAAAAGGGCCGGCGGATGTGGCAACGAAACGGGGCAAGAAACGAGCGTTTTTATCGTTTTCGCTGCGTTCCGACTTTCCCCACAAACTGTGCTTCGTTCGGAAGCTTTTGGGCGGCGGGAACAGAGCACAGGGGTTGAAAAGCAAAGGGCGAGAGAGGGAGAGGGGGATTCCCCCACCAAAACGAAACACGGGCATTGGCACCAAATGACGCCGTGGAAATAGGAGTTTTCTGCGGCAACGCCGGCTCGTCCGACGGGGAAAGGCCGTTCTGGGCAACGTTTTCTTTCAGCAACAAAACTTCAAGCAGCTTTGGGTGCAAGACGCTTCCCTCCCCCCACCAGCCCCCGGTACCTCCCCTAGCGGAGACTCTTGCCCCTGCCTCTGCTGTGCCTGTGCCCCCCGGCGCCCCCCAGGGGAGCTGGGGTTGAGCGCCCACGGCTGCACCCGAACAGCCCCACTCACCTGCCGGCCCACGCGGTTGTTGTGAAGCCTCGTGCGGGAGTGGATGTCCTTGTAAGTTTCCCGGGAGTCTAGGAAATCCTTGGCAAACTTCTCCCCGTAGTCCACGTCGGGGCTGCAGCCCCCCCACTCCCAGGAGTCCTGCTGCCCCGGGGCCTCAGGCGGCACGTGCTCCACGTGGACCCCGTGCA